CTTTGCTTGCACTTCTCCTACGATGGTCAAAAACTGCCTAAATTGATATGGAAGGATTGCGGATGGCAAATATTTGACAATAATCCTCACTGTCTCTTTCTTTTGCCCTAAATTCCAAATTCCCTACAGGTAAATTCGGCAACTTGAGATTGCCTTGACCTTTAAACTACTGCTACCTACTTCCGTAAAATGCGTTTTATATGTGCACCTCCTACAAATCATGGGAAAGTTGTGGCTGGAGGTGCTTTCTGGTCGTCAGGAAAGACCTTCTTGTCAAAAAAAGGCATTTACATCGCACTGTTTACAAAGCGAGTAATTGGCGCATACCTTGATTGCTTGATGTGAGCAATAGGTGGATCCTCTTCAATGCGTTGCAGCATCTCCGTCTGAATGTTTTCCTAAAGAACGAGACTGTTTACGCTTTCGACTACCTTACCCTAGCCTATTTCCGTTACAATTTGGTTGTTTAACTCCTAAATATTTGACAACTACATTAGAAAACTCGGATCATATTTAACAAATTAAATCTTGTGATACAAGTAAATAAAATTGCAGGAGAAAGTAGTAAAGAGGACTAGATTGGCGACTGCAGCAATTACCTAGAGCATATTTGGGCCTCACAATGGATGGAGCAGGAGATACAAAGATTTGGGGATTGTAAGACTAACAGATAGTCTTGGATAAAATGCATTTTGCCTTTGTTCTGGTTTAAAATTAGGGAATCATATATTTAAGTTATGCCTTACTACAGAATCGGAACGAATTAATATCAGAAGATACTAAAAACTTTTCCCTTGTTGAGATGGAAGTCAGTTTTTCAAACAAGGCCCTTAAAGCAACATTCATGGATGCACTCGAGTTGACGCCTTCTGGATGGCAGAAACAATTACCACTCGTACACTGTTGAGCTGGACCTTACAATAATAGTGTTTTAAAGTCATTTCCTGCCATGAAATCAGTTTTCCATCACACTATCTTACTTTTGCCCTAAACAGGTCAGCTTATTCTGAATCCACGATAAAGCTACTTCCAAAACCGACATAATATTAAGGCAGAAGGGCAAAATTAGATTCTTTTTAATTATGCCTTCATCCCTGATGTAGTATTGGTTACCAAGATTAGTGCAACTAGCAATCTCATTGCCCCATTTTACTTTTAAAGGAGAGCCCACTTTGACCATTGTGCAGAAGTCTGACAACTTTCTGTAACTGGCGTGATGCATGATTTGGCGTGTTGACAGTAAAATGTGTTAAGAGAAGAGCGTGGGAAAAAGAATCCTCTCCCCTCTTGAGCCAACGTTATGCTCAGACTGACCTAACGTAAGCCCTTTTCTAAGGTTTCTTTTAATTCGATGATGTTCAATCACATTACAGTGACAGTCTCCTAGGGTAGCAAGAAAATCACTTGTCTTATCAAAAGCGGAAAGCGTTTTGGTCTTTCTGATTCGACTCTTCACAGCGGGCATCTCTACTCCCTGGTGATTACATATAACAGAAAGTTATGAAGGAGAGGATTACTTCTCGTCGTAATAGGTTTTTCTACTGCTGTCACGGGCAGAGCGCCTTCAATCATCACTACATCTGCGGCAGGACATACCATCGTAGAAGACCGGTTCCTTAACTTTGCATAAATGTTTTTAAGGCAACACTAATAGCTGTGAGCTCCCGCCTGCAAAACCATCTGTAATTCTTCTGGGTAAAGAGTTCTAAGGAAATGTTTAGCAGGACAAAGTTTGTTCCTACAACTATCTTCAATTTATCTACTTTTGAGGAAGGAATATTAAAAATTTATTTCGATAATGTTTCAAGAACAGAAATAAAACTTTCCCCATTCGGTAAATAAACTGCTTCAGGCCTCGATGAAAGCATCCTTCTAGTACGATGATGTTATATTGTGTTTCTATCAATTTTTGCAATCAATTTCTTTTTCTGGCCAAAGGGAGATCAAAGGGAGCCATAGTCTGGATGAGTTAAGGTGGACATGGAGCATATGGCGCCGTGTCTCACAAAAGGAAGTGGAAGCGACAATGTATTGACCTTAAAAGTTGGCTATCCTGATGTAACACATTTTGTATGCCTAAATCTCGATTTGATATCATGCTACTTGTAGCATTGCTATTATACCTCAGCCAGTCTACATGCCCTAAAGGTCACACTGGTAGTGCCTAACCACCGACGTAGGTCAACAATGTATTGTAATACGATAGTGGTTTATCCCTCGGTTCTGGTGAGGCA